AATTGTCAGGGTTTGGCAGGGCAATCAGTTCCATGCCACTGAGTGCCACGTCTCGACATGTTCTACAGCAACTCTCGATACACACACACATACACACACTAACTCCAGACGCCTGACCCCCCACACCTGTTCACTGGTGTGAGACGGAAGTAAGAACCCTGTTCCCCATTGCCTTGGCTCAGAGGAACAAAGGAACAACCTCCTACACACACACCCAGACACACACATGGTATGCGTGTCAAGGATGCTCTATCCTCAAATAACTTGTGCCTTCAAGTTTAATCTCAACACATACACACAACAATGTGGAATCAACACAGCTCTTACTTACATGTATTGCAAACATATGAATCATTGCTGTACTGTCAACGGACATATTCATTAAAGACAGGAAGCTTCATACAAAGTGATTAAATACATCATACTGTAATAGAGATACAGTAACAACCATGATGGCAAACACATTGATAGAAACACACAGAAACTGGGCAAGAAACAGCGTACGTTTGGGCAGGTCGCCTATCAAGCATAGGGCAACCGCGGGCAATTTAGAGTTGCCAATTTACCAAACTTACATGTCTTTATAGAGAAAGACAGAAGATCTGGACAAAAACCCAACTGACATGCGCAGAGCTCAGAAAGGCCCATTTGGCAGGTTCAACACTATAACAGTCCTTCAGTGATGAGACATTTCTAAACACTGCATCACCATGCCGCTTCATTGCTACACAACTCATGACAGAGTACTACCTCAAGCACAAAAACACAAACCATATGGCTTTAGCTAGGCAACGTCCAAGAGAGATTGCCAACAGAGTGTAGCGCTGGAGAGCTTCAGAGCCCAGGTTCAGGCCTAGCTCAGAGGACCTGACATGGAGTTAGCGGTTCTCTAATATTCTCTGCCTCAAGACCATTCAAAGCCTTATTAGGAGGAAGATCCTGATTGAAATCCTACATTTTATTGGAAGTGACCTCAGAACTGCGGTGATGCTAAAACGAAAAGTGGCAGAAACACACATAGACTCAGACTTTTGAATGAGTCAGGACTCATCATTCATAATGGGATCCGGATCCTGTTGACAGCGAATCAGCCGCTGTTAGCTGAATTGAGCCTGACCTTTTGTAAACAGGCGCCCATAATGGAAGTAATGACTCTAAACACAACAGCTTCACCACTTTGACAGCCAGCACTGTCACCACAGTCAACAGCATCCACATTACGTGCTCAGGAGGGTCACCCACTTGTTCTACTACACTTCAGGATGTGTGTAAGTGCGTGTAAGAGGCAAGTGTGTGTATATTGCTCAACCCAGACACTCAAACACAAACACATAAACAATATGACAGTATACAATGCCTCAGGGGAACACAGTGGCCTACACATGGTCAGTATCTTATTCTCCGTGTGTATTGCATGTGTGATTCTTGTAATAGCGCCAAGAGCACACAGATCCTAGTGACAGCATTTTAGCAGTGAGCCCTACACATGGATTAAAAAGATGACACATTCTGTGTGAAATTTGCAGAAATCACAGTGGCAATTGAAAAAATGTAACCTTTATTGTTGTTGTACTTTGTCCCAGTTGTGTTTATATTTCACAACATGTAGAAAAATGGCTTCAAAGTCACCTCCAGGAACAGTCAAGTGGATGTGAATGCTGCTATCATTGCTGTTAGATTTTGGAATATAGCAGAAAACACACCTTTATAAAACTTGCAGATTTTATTTAGCAAGACAATATCCACATATTAACTCCAAATATTTGGAGTGAAAATGTAAAACGTAAGCCCATAAAAAACGACATAACGGTGGCTGTGCATCACCACCGCTAAGCTAAAGGCGGCTAATGTTCAAGGCGATGACTTGTATTGACAGTTTTTTTGATGAAACATTGAAGCTTTGGACTTTAAGGAGTGCGGTTTTTACTGACGTTTTATATTTTGTAGAAAAAAACTAGAACATCTCTTTAGCTTGTGTTAACCACAGACCTTATTTAAGGCGGCAAACCACAAACACGTTCAAAAAGCCATTGACGTCGAGACAAGGGAACCAGAAGTGCTAAAATGCTAACTCATTTCAAGGTTTTAAGACTCATTCCTGCACCACTCTATTGTTGGTGTTTTCTTTTTTGCCTACTTAATGCAATTGTATACGCCTGACCAACACACTCTCAGTCATAATCGTCCAGGAGCGACGTTTGGTCAGGGTCCCGTGGCGTGCAGTTCTGACGCTCCTAGGCTCCTTCAGCTTCATAAAGGGATGAAATAGCTTTCAACTGATTGCAATGTATTCCCATCTGCGGCGGGATTTGACGCTCATTCAAGNACCATTCTCACAGCCATTTTTTATTATTTGCTCCCGCCGTCCACACAATTGAGACTATGCTCCGGGGGGGGTATCTTGGACGGATAGTCGCGCAGAAAGGCTCCGGATCGGTTTCCGCTGACAAGCCCGGCCACCGCCCCCTGTATTATATAATGTGGGGTCTAAACGCGCCATCATGTAAGTTGCGCTGGACAGCGCTGGACACAGAGGTCCCCAAGGCCCGTTGACAGCTTCACGAGCGGGCGTCCCATAGTGCTCTCCCGGTCACCCACCACCCCGTCCACCCAGTAAAAACATCCCCACTACAACCACTGGCTTGTTAGTAGCTACACCAACATGGATTAAACGTGTGGTTTTTTCTTACCACAATGTTTGGGGAACATTAATGGATAAAATGCACTATTAATTTTATTATTATTATTCCACTCCGGATCGGCGGACACTAGGTCCACCGTTTCCCGCGCAGCCCTGCTTAACCAGTTTACGTGGGCTGCGGCTGGCGTGCAATGGCGACTTTGGCCATCGGGGACGCAATCCCGATGGGGCCGCGCTACCGAAGTGGGCCGGTCGGATAGGTCACTAGCCACATCAACACTCCCCGTTACAATTTACTAGTGGTACCGAAGCTGGGCCGGGGTCGAGAGTCCCGCGCTGCATTTTAGCTCCCAGGTCCTACCACTGGTCTACATGACCGCTATGATCGCCCATATTGACTGCCACCTAATTTTCCTAAACTTGCCTAACAGATACAAAATAAACGATCCTTCCGCCCTCATATGAGCCTCAGACACTTGGTTCAAAATGCAAACTGTCATCGCACTGTCTGGAGCTTGCTGGGCTGTGTGGCGCCATCGCTGCGTTTACATGCAGGATGCTGGCGGATCGCTGAACGGTGCCAGCCTGGATCGCTGTGCCCGCCCATTTGACGCTCAAACCCATAATTTGGCGCGGGACTTGAAGAATCCCCCGAGAAGATCCAGAAATGCGGTCAACATTGAAAGCGGCAAGATTTAATGGGTTATCAAAGCTACAAATAAGTCCAAAATCAGTTCAGTAACGGGTTTTCAAGGGGACAATATTTAACTCAAATTGATGGGGGTTTTGGATGATGGGAGGAAAATCGTGCTCACAGGCTTCTTTGGAAGGGATAGTGGATAGGAGGAATTTCAAAAGGACTTAGCAAGAAGAAGACTGCCGGCGTACGTGGTAGAGAATCCGAATGCACTTGCGCACTATCCGACGTGTTTATTGATGCGCCAGCGCACGTCATTGTGTGCGTCTGCTGCTGCTGGTGGAGCGAAACTGGAAACTACAGTTTTCTACTATAACGGACTACGAACATGCGATGTTAATAAGAACGGACGGACTCATCTTAGAGACTGCCCGTGCTCTGATGCTGGCTTGCCCTTTATGCTTTATGAACAACAGGGGAAACATTATTCTTCAGGGACCAAAGGCTTGGCTAATTGAAATAAAAAAGTGAAACTTTATGCTCATCACCGTCTCCCTCCGGTCACTTAATACAAATGATCCGAATTACGTATGATTGTATGAACAAGAAAAGCATCTTAAAATCAATACAAATGTATTTATTTTATTAAACGTTAGGTCTTTTAACAGCCTATCACTGGCTGTATCATCACCATTCAAACATCTTTTTAACAAAGGTTGAACAAAACCCCCACACAGCTCCTTGAAATTTATTGACGTTATTTGATCTGAACAGTAAAAACTAACTTCTTCATATTTCTCTTTTTGCATTATAAATACTGCATGGACGTTCAAACAAAGACTTTGGCCAATTACCACATACGTTTAAAGATGCCTAATAAGCCACTGCTAAACTTTCATGATAAAATTTCTGTCATAATCGTTTTGTGTTCCGCTTGACACGGCCGACTTTGTGTGACTTCAAATGCTGCGGCTGCAAGGCATTTGGTGGGCGCAGCACTTTTCTCCTTTCCTTTCGGCTATAGTGGGAGCGTCCAGTGCCTTCCTTAGCTAAAGGGAGGTTATAAAGGAAGTTTGAAACCTCCTTCTATCATTCTAGCAGAATTCCAACGGGCACTTATCATGGCTTGCCACTGTGCGGACTTCCGGGTCATTTTCACTCGGTTAGGAAGGTTCCTAATGTTTGGCAGGGGTGTTTGTGAAAATAACGGGGAAAGAGCTGCTGTCAGACAAACAGCTGTGCGGCGTCATCACAAACGGACGTCGCTTCACGTGACGCTCCGGAGGAAAGGACGTCCCATTGCTCTTAAGGCCCATTCCCAAACCGCCCCCTACACCCTACCCCTACACCCTACCCCTCCGTTTGCGCGTTTACGCGGACAACACACTCTCACTCCATAATCGTCCAGGAGCGACATTTGGTCAGGGTCCCGTGGCGTGCAGTTCTGACGCTCCTAGGCTCCTTCAGCTTCATAAAGGGACGCAAATAGCTTTCAACTGATTGCAATGTATTCCCATCTGCGGCGGGATTTGACGCTCATGGAAGCACGGCATTCGTTTGTGTCGGCTGCCCTGGGCCGGTCGGACGATGGGTGACCGCCTATTGAAAAATAGTGTGGGTGAGTTTAATCTACTGCATGTGTTACATTGCAATTAAAATGTTCTGTTCAGCTCAGATTTTATTTTTGGTTTCTTAAAATGTAGAAAAAAAAAGAAAAGAAAAGACTCTTACACTTTTATTTGCGAAAGTAGGGAAAACCCTTTTTACACAAATACAGTCAACATGCAGACTAGGCCTTACTGTAACACAATCTTAACACCCTTCACCATGGGTTATTCATGTATGATAATATATATTATATGATTTATTTAAGTGTACACCCTCTCTATTGAATGCACAGAGATTAAATCACAACATCTTTTCATTTTATTCTCTGCAGGAAAACAAAAGAGTGACATTTCCATAATATATTCATATTCAATCATATTGCAAATATGATTTTGTATATCAAACAATCATAAAGACAGATATGTGCGCAAATGTTGCAGATGTAGGAGTTACAGTGGGTCCTCACAGAAGAAGGCCTGCAGAGCCTTCCCCCCCGAGAGGTATCTAATGCTCTCTATCTCCCCGCCGTAGTTACTGGGCTTCTGGAAGTGGATCTCCAGGTGGTCCTGCAGGTCCTCCTCCTCCTCCTTGTCCTCAATGTCCTCCAGTAGGACAGTTCGCTTGGGAGAGCCACAGAAGGTCTAAAAGAATCACAACATAAGTTTGGTCATCTTTTTCTCCTTCAGTCAGGTGAGGAGATGCATACTGAAGTTATCTTTTATTTCATCAAATTAGATTTGGTAGTAAATCATGAATCAGAAAATACCTAAAGTTCTACTCTGAAAGGATCAGAGGACAGATTCAGACATGATACTGGTGGAGGTGTAGAAACACTGATGGAATGTTCCATAAAACCTGCTCACCTGGAACCTGAGCAGCTGGTAACTGTAAACGGGTCCAACCTGCACGTTCACTTCAGAATCCAGATCCAGTCGGTACCTCCCTCTCAGGGCCAGGCCATCAGCAACTAGACACACACACACACACGCACACACACACACACACACACACACACACACACACACACACACAACACACACACACA